AGGCATACTTGAAAGTCAGAAGAGTGTTGGATCCCCTGGAACTGGAGTTGTGAACCATCACATAGATGTTGGAAACCAAAGTCTTTTGCAAAACCAAGTGCTCTCAACCACTGGGCCATCTCACCTGCTCTCCTGAAAACAATTTTATAAATAAATACCCATCATGTTGATTTTTTTTTTTTGTATATGAAGGTTTTGGCTATGTGTATGTATATGTAACTACATACATGGCTGGTGCCCAGGGAAGTCAAAAGAGGGCCTTTGATTTCCTGGAACTAGAATCACAGATGGTCGCAAGCTGTGGGGGCTGGGAATCAAACCCAGGTCCTCTACAAAAGCAACCAGTGCTCTTAATCACTAAGCAATCTCTTCAACCCCATCATAAATGTTGAAATGTTGTTTGTAGTATTGTTATCTCAGTTAGTTGGGATTAGTTAGAATCTGACTTAACCCCTTGTTAAATCTATTAAAACATTTCTGTAAAGTATACTACTATTCCTTCCTTCCTCATGCGATGGTTTTGCTGCTGTTCAATGAAAGAGAACAAAAACTTTTGTTAAGGATAAGCAAACAGATGGACACACTCCAACACAGGGACAGATACACAAAATTGCATTCAGGCAAGAAGATTCAGACTCAAGCAACAGACAGGGAACAATGGAAGGCAGGGAGACCCAAGTAAAGAATACATATCTAGAATTATTCTTGATTAAATGGCACCAAGGCTTAAGTGTTTGTGAGGGTTTCAATAAGGATGGCTTCCATAGGCCCACCTATTTGAATGCTTAGTCACCAGGGAATGGACTGTTTGACAGGATTAGGATTTATTCCTTGTTGGAGTGTGTCACTAGGGTTGGCTTTGAGGTTTTAAAAGCCCATGTTCAACAAGTCCCCAATTAAATGCTTTCTCTTTATTTGCCTTGGTCCTGGTGTCTTGTTGGAAAACTCCACAAATTAAGGTCAAAGTCCACCATGACTGGACAGCCTCTGGACTGGGCATACTATGGACTCCTTTCAGTATTGGGTTTTCTTCTCTGACCTTGTCTGGGGAATTCTAAGACCCCATACACGCTTCTACCTGAGGAATGTCATGTAGCTGCAATTAGATTATAGAAACAATTTCCTGCGG